GGCAGGCTGGGCGCTACCTGCCCTGTGTGCAGGGGGAGGTGTGCGGGGGGGAAGGTGAGGGGGACCTGGCACGCACCCCGTGACACTCACGCTGGTCCCTTGCAGAGTTTCGGGAGACCCGGGCAGCGCAGGATTTCTTTGCCACTTGTCGGAGCCCCAAACTGTGCTGCGAGCTGACGCTGCAGGTGAGCATGTGCCAGGGCATCAGTGTGTCCCCTCTCCCCATCCAGCTGGGTCTGGCCACCCTGTGTGCTTCCAGTCAGTTGTGCAGCTCTTGGGGACCCCACTGCCCTGCATGCTTGTCTATGCCACCCATCAGGAGGGGGTCCCAGCCCTTCACTGACACTGCCTCTTCCTCTCTGCAGCCGCTCAGACGATTCCCCCTGGATGCTGCCATCATCTTCTCTGACATCTTGGTGGTGCCCCAGGTGAGAGCCATAGCCAGTGTTGGTGAGCAGCAGCTGGGAACGGGGCTGAGTTTGGGGCCACCCCATTCGTGCTTCTTCCATTCTCCCCTGTCCCCAGGCACTAGGCATGGAGGTTGTCATGGTCCCTGGCAAAGGACCCACATTCACAGAGCCCCTGAAGGAGGTGGAGGATCTGCTGAAGCTACGCCAGAAGGTGGATGTGACTGCTGAGCTGGGTTACGTCTTCCAGGCCATCACGCTGACACGACACAGCCTGGAGGGCAGGGTACCCCTCATTGGCTTCTCTGGGGCACCTGTAAGTGATGTGGCTCCTCCATGTGGGCTTCCCAGCTGGGCTTGTTTGCTCTTTCTTCTGGTGTTACTCTGGCCATGAGTCCTACAGAGCTGTGGGTGCCACAGAGATGTGTATGTGGGGGGACATTCAATGCAGGAGGAGCTGTGCCCCAGGCTCTGGAGTGCTCACAGGTCCTACCTTCAGAACTGTGACTGGCCCCTGGTGTTTCCTTCCTGCTCCATCGCACTCGTCTCTCCACTTCTCTCCTTCCTGCAGTGGACACTCATGTCCTACATGATTGAAGGTGGTGGCTCCACTACAATGGCCAAGGCCAAGAGCTGGCTCTACCGTCACCCTGAGGCAAGCCACCGACTGCTGCGCCTGCTGGCTGATGTTGTCACTGACTACCTGGTGGGACAGGTGGCTGCTGGAGCGCAGGTGTGTGCTATGGGGACAGGGCCAGGCAGGAAGGCAAGGACTGGGGACAAGGAGCAGAGAGGGTCCAGCTCCTGGGAGGATGAAGAGGAGGGACTGAGGTGCAGCTCTTCAGCCCCATGTCCCTGACAGGCGCTCCAGCTGTTTGAGTCCCACGCGGGGCACCTGGGCCCGGAGCAGTTCCAGGACTTTGCACTGCCTTACATCCGAGACATCGCCCGAGCTGTCAAGAGCAAGCTGAAGGAAGAGGCGTTGCCTCTGGTGCCCATGGTGAGTTGGGGCTGCCTGCATTGACCCTGGCATCTGGGGGCTGCTGGACAGGGGTGCATCCCCTGGGACCTGCCTCCACCAGCCTAGCACGTGGGGAGAGCCTTCACCCACAGTGGAGTTACTGCCCTTCTCCTTCCTCCCCAGATCATCTTTGCAAAGGACGCGCACTACGCGCTGCGTGACCTGGCCCGTGCTGGTTATGAGGTGGTTGGTCTGGACTGGACCATCCGGCCTCAGGAAGCTCGGTAAGAGTCTGGCAGAACGCTAAGGTGCCTAGGCAGCACGCTGGGCTGGGTACCCTGACCTTTTCCTCTGCCCTGAGCCATCCTAGGCCTGCTCCAGAGATGGGGATAGTTGGGTCCACATGCTGCGTGAAGCTCACAGCAACAAGGGGTTGCACTGAGGGGTCCCATGTGCCGTGTGGTGTGGGCTGCAGGCTGCTCCCAGCTCCTACACCACACACAACTCACCTGCTTCCTCCTTGCTGCAGAGCACAGACAGGGAAAGATGTCACCCTGCAAGGGAACCTGGATCCCTGCGCTCTCTATGCACCCAAGGTGAGCCATGGACAGCAACAGGGGGACAAGTTCCAGCCTGTGTTAAAAGGCCTCTGGCCTCAGTTTCCCCATCTGCAGTGCTGGCTCAAGTCCCAGCAGCACCCCCAAGCTGGCTGGAGACTGGTGGGGGTAGATTACTCTGGGCTGGAAAGGTCTGACCCATGGTTTCCCACTATGCCTATAGGAGAAGATCGGGGAACTAGTGAAGAAGATGCTGGAAGGTTTTGGGACCCAACGCTACATTGCTAACCTGGGCCACGGACTCTACCCCGACATGAACCCTGAGCATGTGGGCGCCTTTGTGGAGGCTGTGCACGCGCATTCCCGCCACATCAACAAGCACAGCTGAGCCTGGGGGCTTGGGGACAGGACTCTGGTTTGGGCACAGTCACCCCAAGTAGTGTGTTGTCACAGGGCTCACTCCAGGCTGGGCAGATGCATTAAACCAGCACCTTCTCCGCAGCAGCCGTGTGGCTCTGGCTGGGGGGATGGGGAACTGGATGGCCCTGGAGGAGACGGGCAGTGATGGCAGCCTGGCAGTGGGGTATGTGGGATCAGAGGGAGCCCCTGAGGCCCATCCTGCAGGTCAGAATGGAGAAACAAGGATGCCAGCAAAGTGGGGGGGATGCCGCTTCCTGCCAGGCTGCAGTGTTGTTCCAGAGCTCAACAAGCCTCTCCTGGTACTGTGGCTGTGCCCAGCCCTGCTAGGGGACATGAGCTGCCTGGGGCCTGCAGGGTCACAGCCTGCAAGCTGGGGATTTGCAGCCCACCACTGCCACAGGCTCAGTGTGAGCCATGCCACAGTCCTGCTCAGGTAGGAACTGGCAATGCAACATTGACCCTGAGCATTTCTTGACTGGGTGGGAGACCCAGCAGGACTCAGCTGGGGGATAGCCAGGCCCATGGCAGCCCTCCAGACATGACACCACCAGCACCCGGCCACATTGGCTGGGATGGCAACAGACACCATGACCCCAGCACCACCATCGCCTTCCTCCAGCTCCCAGAGCCATTTTGGGACCATCCCACTGGTCCTGGAGAGATCTCCAGCATGCACACCCCCCCATCTCCTCTGATCCTCAGTGCCAAGTTTGCCAGGGGCTCAGCCAACCCTGCAGAATGCAGCCCAGAGTGCCAGCAGCACCCATAAACCCTGGGTTATGACTCTGTGCCACCCCATCCCACACTGCAGCACACTCACTGTGGTCCAGGCTGGCTGTAGGCTGGATCAAGATGTGGGTGCCAACACTTCTTCAGCTGTCATGGACAGGGAAGTGCCACCAGTATGGGTAGGGTAGCTGATGCTGAGCTTGGCAGGGAATTGCATCCTGAAGCAGGCAGGGAGCATTCCCACTTCTCCATCCCCGGGCCTGGGTACCAGAGGGGGCTGCGCTGCCTCCTGCTCCCCGGGGCTCTGCCCTGCTCACGTCGCCCTCGATGCCAGGCTGCCCAGTGCTGACCCCTCCAACTTCAGAGAAAGGCAGTAGAGATACAGGTGGTAACGTTCATCCCTTTTATTATTAAACATCAGATGAAGAGGTCGCACACACACATACACGCACGCACGCAAAAAAAAAAGAAAAAAAAAGGAAGGAAAAAAAAGAGAAACAGACTGGTTGAAAACCGCTATTTCAGTGGCGACAGAGACCAAGTACAACTGGTTTCCTGGCCGGAGCGCGGACACAAGTCACTTGCCAAAAAATTAAGTCAAACCAGACAGCAGATAACTAGCCCACGTTCTCTAACTACAAGTCACCGTCCAGACTGGCCCTGGCCCCCCCCAGCCCTCCCGACCCGCTGGCAAAGAAACAAACCAAAACTGAAGAGCTGCTGGCCCAGGGCTGGAGAGTCTGCCCCCGGTGCAGGGCAAAGCTGGGAAGGCCCGAGGATCGGCTGCACCACGGAGCTGAGAAGCAAAGGGTGCAGGGAGGCAGCACGGCTGTGCCTGCCCCCCACCCTGCCTGGGACCGTCCTCCAGTGCCAGCATCCACGTGTGTCTGAGCGAGCGTCGCCCCGAGTCCCGCCCCGAGTGCCTTCCTTCGCTGTCCTCAAGCGCTGGGCAGATGCTCCTCCCTCCGTCTGTCCGTCAGGGCTGCGAGTCGAGCGGACGTTCACCTCCCCCCACACCCTTCTCACTGCCAACGATGCCATGGGAACCTGAGAAATGTTCACGTGCCTCCTCTTTTTGTCTGTGGTTTTGTTTTGTGTTTTTTTGATGTATGTTGTTTTTTTTTAAATAATAGTTATAATAATAATAATAACAATAATAATAGTAATAATAAAAATAATCGCCCCAGCCCACGACAATTTCAAGTATCCCCCAAATAAAAGACAGAATTATAAATAATTATAACTTTACAATTTAATAATTGACACATATACTATAGTATTTACAGTATCATAAATGCGCTTTTTTTTTTGTGTTACTTTTAGTAAGCAATCCCTGAGAACAGTTACTTTAACTTGTTTTTATTGAAGTATCTTCACAAATAGAGGAGTTTGCATGTCTCGGGTGGGCGGGAGAAGCGCTCTGCAAAGCCATCGCTTTTGGTGACGCATGAGGTTCTAGTGTTGCAGATTTCTTTGCTCGCTCTTTTTTGTTGTTGTTGTTGGTTGTTTTGTTATTTTTTTTAATTCTCCACATCATTTTGAAGATTTTTGCACTTTGCAACCTTCGGATCCCTCCAGCGACCGCTTCCTTCAAGAAAGAGGTATTAGATTTCCAGGTTAGCTTTTGGTATTGGCAAGGGAGGGCAGGGGGCTGAGCAAACCATCCTTTTTCCCTGTGGTTGCCTTTTGGTTTGTGCCCAAGGAATCTCTGGATCCTCTCAGCATGTGAAATGGTTAAATCCAAGAAGAAAGAAAAAAATATAAAATAAAAAAGAAAACAAAGAAAAAAAAATAGAAACAGAAGACCAGAACAGAGCAGCCTCTGCCGTGGGGGGGAAGGCGATCTCCACTTTCCTTCCTTCTTCTCTCCCGAGTCCCCGTGCTGCGGCTGGACCCTGCCAGTGAGCGTGGCAGTGGCCAGGGCTCACCCAAACCGTTCCCGCACCAGCAGCATCAGTTTTTTCTTGCCTTTGTAGATTTGTTTGAGATTGTCAATGAACTGGGCAAACTGTATATGCCCGTCCTGCGCCAGGAGGAAGGTCTCTCTGGCCTTGCTGAGGAACTCGATGAACTCCCCGTAGTGCCGCGGGCTGATGTGGGTGAGCCGGGAGTGGGTGGTGTTGATGTAGGCGCTTATCGTCGCGTCCAGCAGCTGTCGCAGGGGGGCTTTGTCAGTGGACATCAGCTTCCCCGAGTTCCTGCGGTTCGGCCAGCCCTGGGGCCGTCATGGTGCAGCGGCGAAGGATGTCCGAGAGCACCGTGGCACAGTGCACGCTCTTCACCACCAGCGGGATGATGGCCGCCAGCTCATTTTTGCCCAGAGAGTGGCTCAAGGCACAGGCCCAGAGCACGTCATTGATGGCAGGGTGTGTGTCCTGGTTGTAGGCCAGGTTGAGATGCGTCATGGCCAACGAGGCCAGTTTGAACGCCCGGAGTGGGTAGCCCCGGTGCTCCATGTAGCGGGCGATGGTGAAGAGCTGGGTGTAGGTCATGCCGGTGGAGGCAGCATCGATGACAATCTGGTAGGCAGTCTCGAAGGCGATGTGGTCCTTCTCACAGAGGGTCAGAGCAGACAGGGCGCAGTTCTGTGGGTCCTTCATAGCGCACTGCAAGGCCAGGGTGCGGGCACAGCTGGCCAGCTCTTCCCGCTGAGGGTAGTCCAGGCTCAGGCGCAGGATGGTGTTGTGGGACATCACTGTGGCAGCCACAATGCTGGTGGCTTCCGTAGGGGTGAACAGAGAGTACCAGCTCTGTAGGATGCTCACCAGGGCCCTCACCCCTGCAAGGAAACATTGGGGTCACAGCACAGCTCTGAAGCCTGGCTTGGATCGTGGGGCTCCTCCAAGTCCCTGGGGTGCCTGGAGCTGAGACAAAGCCAGCCCAGAGCAGTGCTGAGCTGCTGCCTCGACA